GACAATAAGGTAACTTATAAAACAGAAATCATAACTTAGAAACCCAACAATTCTAAATCAAAAGTATAATTTTTAGTGATAAATTGAGGAAGTATGAGATTACAATGAAAAACAATAGTAGTTGTTGAAACATATTTACAAAAAAATATTTGTCAAAAAGTTACTCCGTATTTATTTATTTACCAAGACATATATGTCCTAATAAACTATTAATGCGTTAAACATAACTTATAAAGTCAAATGTTTAACTTTTACAACTTTTTAAATTACTTCACAGTTTTCAGCCTAAGAACACTTGTTTTGGCAGGTCTGTGTTGGTTGCTTACCGACAACGGATAATTTGAGAACTCAAATGGTGGATAGTAATGTGAGCTGTGGGTTGTGTGGTGGAGAAGATGAATCTTTGTTTCATATTTTTTTTTCTTGTCTAGAGGCCAAAGAGGCATGCAGGGCTGTTCACTTGAAGTGGTCAACTCCTATGGAGAGCTCTTTCTCCAGGCAGTTGCATCGAGAGTTCCAGTCTAAGAGAAAGGAAGAAAACAATGACACACAAGAAATGAACTAAACTCCAATTTAAAAAGCTATGAAATTAATTTGAATAGGGATAAAAAGATTAAGGAGTTTCTTTTGAACTTAATGGCTCAGTCACACCTCACATCTCTTACAACATTATTCATCACCTCAAATCTAAAGAGAGAATTTCAAAATAATTATATACCTTAAAGATAAGAGAAAATTCCTTAAATATAACTAAAACATAAGCGGGGCGGACCGTAGTAGAGACCCAGGGGGGCAGTCGCCCCTCCAACAAATTTTTTTAGTGTATATATATACCAAAAAATATTTTTTGCCCTCCCCAATTTTTTTTTTTTAAGTTACCGTCCTCCCAAGATAAACTTCCTGGGTCCGCCCCTGAACATAAGCAACGTTCACAAATAGGATCATCATAATCTTATTCCTAAAATAAGACTTGCTCACTCCTAATTGAGAAAGTTTTATATAGAGTACTATTAATATGCATGGCCAAATAAGTCATATATGGGTAATTAAACATAAGTACTTCTTCGTATGCATGTGTCTAAGTTTAATTTAGTTCAATTTGGAGGAATCTATTTAAAGAGAATCCCCTGAATGAGTTCTAGAATGGCTTATCAGATACGTTTCTTCCTTGTTACTACTATACAAGATTTAACTGTTGATTTTGAGCAAAAATTCAAACAAATTGTCTGATATCACTCCCTTCTCTCACCTTCCATAGGATAGGTATAAAATGGGAAGTCTAATGCATGGAGCAAATGTGGTACCAATATAATCAAAACCTGATGATTCTAATTGAGGGGCTAATCGAAACAAATTAAAATTTATCTAACTTCCCATTAACCATTACCTCTTTTGATTCAGTTTTTTTGGAGTTTTTTTCTATTCCCAATGAGCTAGTTTAGACATTCCAAATTAAAAGACATGATTGCATTAAATGTGTATATTGAAAGTTGAGAATAATCCTGAATAATTTAGGATTTCGTATTTCATATGATGTGATAGAGTATATAGACTCGGACCCCCGGGTCTCACGACTATTGGGCCCGGATAGCGACCCACATACGCTCAGTAGATAGTATTTATCTCATTGTACACTCTATTTTATTTATGTATATCCATTAGAATAGATTATATACCATTTATTAGCCATTTATTAGCCTTTTATTGTAACTGGGCCTTCCAGGCCCAAACCTAGAAGCCCAACCCTCTTTTCTCCTATAAATACTTCCTATGGGAGCCATGTAAAGGAGGGTTGATTGGAATTCATTATACATATCACTATATCTCTCTAGCTCTCCCTTCTCTCTAGAATTAATATTCTATCATTTGGTGCTTTCATTGAGAGCTAAAATATATCAAGTAAGATCCTCCCAACCAATAACACCTCAAGTAGGTGTCGTAGTGCCAACCACACGTCGGCCAAATGCTACGTGCAATGAAAAGTGGCAAGTATTATCTAAATGACAACACTTCGGCCCTAGCTTGGAGTAACATGGCCCATTCCTGACAAAACACGCCATGGTGGTCAAACTGCCAAAGCATACCACTCTGGTCAAACCATACGTGAGTAAGCAACACCTCGGCCTGGAGTGGGGAACTCGGAAGCACGCCCCCTCGGCCAGACTTCACTCTCGGCCAAGGAAGTGGACACCTGAAACCGTCCATAAGCCAGGCAACAGTGCACCATCGGCCAAACTGCAAGTGTTGGGACAGCCTCGGCCAAACAAGTCGCACCTCGGTGAAACCCAAGCGAAAGGGGGGAAAGCCGTCCCTCCTCGGCAAATGAGCCCCTCGTTTTTTAGCAGGAGGATCCTCTTCGGCCAACGCAATTCAAGCAATGGAAACAAGAAATGGTGCTCCACATCGGCCAAGTAGTGTTGCACGCCCATCGGCCGGGCACCTATCGGCCAGGCACCTATCGGCCAGGCACCTATCGGCCGGGCACCCATCGGCCGGCACCCATCGGCCGTCAACACATCTACCGACGACACATCAGCAGGCAACACGTCGGCCATCGACGCCATTTGCCGGAAACCTCGTCGGCCGGCAACCGCATCGGCCAACACAAGGGACAGCTTCGGCTCAGCCAGGACAGCATGCCCAACGCCTCAACCTCACTGGGCAAGTGAATGACTTGCCACGGAAAGCCCCCCTCCCCCCGACTAGGAAGTCCCTACTCCCTAGAGCTGTCGCATGCCACCTATCCTAATCCATAGCAGCCACCCTCCTTATTACAAATTGCATCTGTGTTTATTTTAATAATAATCCCTGTAGGAGGTTTTCTCCACAGCAGGTCATGGTTCCTACTGCGAGGTTGCTGCACTACCTTATTATCACTAACCCGCCTCCAGCTTTCCAGAAAAGGTGTTGCTTGGATCAAAATCTGTTCAGCCGTGGCTACTTCAATTCCCTCCCACACCTTCCTTATTTATGGCATCCCATAATAACGCCCAACAAGCCATCACCCATATGCAACAATGTTCCTCATCCATGGCTAAGAACAGATCAGAGCTTCAGCCCAGACCATGAACGAGCAGTGCTCCATCACATAGCCCCCCACGAAATATGTCCCACACTTCCTTCGCAATCCTATATCTGCGAAACACATGGTTAGTCGTTTCCAACTCGTCCTCATAACGACAACAATAAAAGCGAGTTTTAAGTCAATATACCAGAGTGAAATCCTATGAGAGACATTTTGACCTTGCCCGCCCAATTAAAACAAAAGGAATTACTCCAAATAGGAGTAAAACATAATAGAGGTGCAAAAATAGGACTGTATGATATTCATTCCCCGAATAGGAGTTTTAAATCCAATTTTATCCCTGCTCACATTTAATGGTTCACGACAGATCTGTCCCTGCATTTTCCAGACGATCAAGTCTCTCTCTCTCTCTCTCTCTCTCTCTCTCTCTCTCTCTCTCTCTCTCCTCCCATCATCCTCTCACCGCTTCTTCCCCTTCCCATCTCCCATCCTTCCTCTTTCTTCTTTAATTTTTCTTCTTTGTTTTCTCATTCCTTATTTGATATCTATCTCGTATCTTTTTTCCGCAATTGACCTCACCTCTCATATCCACTTTAAAGATTTTAAAAAATCGGCATTTCAGATGAGTTTGAGAGGCCAACAAAATAAAACCCACCTCCAGCGAAATTGAGGGGTTTAATCGGATGTGAAAGGCAGTGGTATGTGCTCTTCTTTTTTCGTCATCTTCTCCCTTTTTTTCTCCTCCTCCTCTTTCTTCTCCTTCATCCACCTATTTGTTCTTTTCATTTCAATTTTTTCTTATTTTCCATCAATTATTTTTATTTAAGGAATGCTAATTTGGGTCTGGAATTTATTATTTTAAAACATAAAAGTCGTTTATTTGAATATTTTATTTTATTTTATATGTATTAATAACTTGTGTCATTTTTACGGTATTAATAACTAGTGCCATTTTTAAATAACTTGTCAAAAAATGTAATTTTTAAACCACTTGGCAAAAATGTCATTTTCACGGTAATAGTGTCAATTTTAAGGGAATATCGCGATTTCTAATGCCATCCTTTATCGAAAGGACTTATAGTGCCTTTTTATGCACCATGAATGCCATGTTTTTATTTTTCCGGAAAATTTCACTATTTTAAACCTTAGGAAGATGATATACTATGTTATACAAACATGCCAGGTCTTTAATTTTCAGATTTTATACTATGTCATTATTATTAGGAGGATAATAACAATACACTAGAGTTAGGCAACAAATTTGCCACAGAGTTGTGCACTGGTCTCTCCAAAAGAGTTGACGGTCGACGGCGGTAGAGGCCACCAACATCGGAGATCCACAACGGTCATTCCAGAAGAGGCGGCGGGCCGCGGCGGCAGCGTAGCAACAAATGCATCTCCAAACGATGCGGCGATTGAAGAGCTGACAATGTCGATGTCTGATATGGCGGTTAACAGCGACCATTTTGGATGAGGTGGCTGGCAACGGTGGAGAAGACTGAGTCACGATTTAGGGTTGTGGATTTGCATCACAATTTCTCTCCCGTTAACTCTTATCAGTTGCCGTATGATTTATGTTTGGTTGATACATAAATTAATATTTTCATTTAGGGTGTTTTTGTCAACTAAGGTCTTTTTACTCCTATGAAACATTGAAGTCCTAGTTTTGCACTTTTAACATCTTTTACTCCTAGTTACAAAATTCTCTCTTCAAAAAATTTGGATTTTTGGGCGATTTGGGTGCAGTTGACCGGCGTTGGATGGTTGACTGTGTGTGTTGAGCGGGAGTTGACTGGTCTGTTGGTCTGTTCTCCAGGTCGAGCCCAAAAATCCAGCTCTAAATCCAGCAACTCAGCAGCAGTCCAGGTCTAGAAGCCCTTCAACAACGCATCAGCCCAAAAGCCCAGTATCAGCCCAGCAGCCCAAAGATTTGAAGCCCAGGTCCCCTATTTTCTGCTTCGGCGCGAGGATCCACGTCAGGTACAAGCTCGTTCTCTCTGCGCGAGATATCCACGTCTAGGAGATCCTCGGCGACGATTCCTAGGCAGAAGGAGGCTCCAGCGGCGTCCTTGACCCACGAGCTCCGGATTTGACGAACGACGGAGGATTTGGGGCTAATGCTCCAGCGACGGCTTCTCAGCAACGAGCGACAGACTTCCGGCGACGGGCGTCCTCCCAGACCTCAAATCGTCTGCGGACGGCGGCGGAAGGCGGAGGATGGCAGAATCCGGCTCTAATACCACTGTAAGGTGTATATTTCAGCTCAGATCTCCAACTCAAAACAACTCACACCAGATTGTTTAGCCACTCCACCAAGCTTTATCCTCTCACTCTCTCCTCTCACCTCTCTAGCTCTCACTCACAAAGAGGAAGAAGATCCCGGCCAAACTGCCTCACTCACACTCTTACCTCCACACACCTCACTTTATGTACTGCACTCAACAAGAAAGGGCTACCCTCTGACTTATACAAGTCACAAGGGTTGAAGACAAAAAGATACAGAGAGCACCCACCAGACATAGCAACGGATAGAAGACCAAGGGGCCAAAGGCCAGTTCAATAAGTGAGTAAACGGATAGGTTCATTTTATCGCTCCTCTGCTATCATCCATCGCTGGAGTTGGTTGTTCGACTAATAGATGCTCCATCGCTTGCTTCATTTTATCGTTCCCTCTCTTCTTCGAAGTCAGTCTCCTCCTGAATTTCAGATTCTGATGGATACTCCTTTGAAGTCCCTCAACCCCAACAAGCATCTTAAAGAACGGTATGGCTTCTATCTTTCCACATTAAATAATAATTTCTTACTTTTTTTAGCATAAATACTACTCCGTAGTATTCCATCTTGAGATGAAATTTTAGATTTTGCAATGCTTGATCAGGTTTGTGAGCAACCTTACTGGATCTTCTATGCTTGAACTGTTTTCTCTCATGACAACTCTCTCTGTAAGAAATACCTGACTATTAAATTTGTAAATCATGGTAGTGCAATTGCCTGTTTTTTCTACTAGGTTCTTCCAGTTCTTATAGTACTATTTCGCAGTACAGATTGTCATACTCTTACGGCGTTCTACCGGATTAAATACTCAAATTGGTACGGAAGTTTCACTTGGACCACATCATATTTTCTTAGTGTATATATTTGCTAGAAAGTGAGGTGATACAGTTTGACAGAAAAAACCTAGTACTTCGTTGTTGTTCTCTACCCAGAACTGCAGCTCTGTTACCAACTGCAATCAGGTCATCAGGAGTTGCTTTACTGTGTCTATAACACTATAACCCTTTTTTAATTGTAAATTATTTCAGTGTGACGCAAAAGGTAGAATAGTTGCTTCCATATGTGTATCCTTTTGATGTCGTAACTCATAAGTTTTACTTGTTTTACTACAGCGGTGATAAATGTATAGTAGATCTCTCAAACAAGTCTTTACATATTACCCTGGCAATTGAAATTGAGTCTTTTCGTTTATTATTCCTTTCTTTTTTTGATACATGGACTAATATGGCTTCCACTATTATTAAGCTAACAATGATTATGTAGTAAATAAACTTAGGTCGTTTTTGGCATATATTATCAGCACGTTTGCACTGCTTTACAAAAGGCTATTCTAGATGCGCTGTACTAAAAATTCATATTTCAGAGTAGTTTGTCCGTAGACAAAGCTATAGGCAATTCTGACTTAGTGCATTTGTCTCAAGTTGTAGTAATTCTACTGAGGATTTGCTTTCAGTTGAACAGTTTTGATGAACAGTTTTGACTTACCCATGCTTATGTGTTGCCTTTTAATCTTAGTTTTTTTCACTTTTCTGGAACCAGCTATATGCCATACTTAATTCTTACTGATAGGCATTTAAATATTTTTATAAGTGTTTAGTTTTCAAAATGCTTATCATGGTGTTCTTTAGTTGCTGCATTCATGTAATATTATTTTGCTACTCTGGTCATGACTTTTTAGGGGGTTTGTTGAAGAAACATGACAAAGATAATGGTATTATTAGGACTAAGAACTTGGCGATGTACATTGCTGCAGTTAGCCTGGATTTCCTCTGCATTGTTGTTCCTTTCATTTTATATACAACTGTAAGCATTTTGCACTCTTACTGCTCTGAAATCCCTCCTCCCTGCAAAAGAAATAAAAGAACAATATGAGCCTGTTTGGTGACCCTGTTTTTCATATAAATTATTCTTTATTTTATTAATAAAAACTATTTTGAATATAATTTTTTCATATGTTTCAGAAAAACCAGCTAATACAACCAATTTGGGTATTACCAAACGGGCTCTATACGTAAGTATAAATATGGAGACAAAGCATGTTCGTGACATTTTTATGTATTATGGAAAAAATTGTCTTGTTTTAATGTAGCCCTTTGTGGATTATATGTAGTTGAGTGCTAATGCTTATACTCCTAACAAGTGTGGTTGATGAGTGATGAAAATATCTATCTGACACAGGTCCTAGCAGATTGGATTTATATAAATACATCTCTTGTTGCTGCTTTGTTGCTTTTATGTATTTTTTCTGGAAGGTAACAACTATTTTTCTGTTTCTTTTCTATTTATGTTTTCTCTTCCTGTGATGAAGAAAATTAGTGTATATGAGACAATATAGAATGCACTAGGCATCACACAAAGTGATTACATAATTCACATTTCCAGATATTTTAAATTGTAAACTAAGTTCACATGGGATACAGGTTTGGATCTCCTTTTCAGGATGATGGGCTCCAATCTCTTAGGCAAAATATATCAGCATACAGAGTATCCATGGTATATGCGTACTCTGATAATCTTTTCAGAGGATTTATATTCTCCAGACAATTTTATCTCTTCATTAACAATGGTTATTGCAGATGCTTCTTACATGCTTGTGTATTCTGGCTGTTGACTTCAAAATATTTCCTAGAAGATTTGCAAAAACAGAGACTTACGGAACGAGCTTGGTAAGATAATTCAACCTAATATATGACTATATTTGTGCATTGATTCATTCACACAGGTGTGACCCTGCACTTACACATCTGTTTGTGTGTTTTTTGGTTTTCCTGGATGAGACTGTTAGGCATTCAAATTCAAATTTAACTGAACTTTCGTCATGCTTTAAGACTGGCATTAGAAGCTGGGTGTTCCTTGTATAACCTTCTCTTAATTAACATTTTCAGAAAGATATGCCTTTAGCTTAGTTTGTGCGTGAGTGTAATGTTTGCATATAACCTTAAGTGCAGTACTTTTTCCTGGATCTCAGTTATTCTTAGTAATTTATTTTCCAAACTTTGTTGTATATAACATGTTAGCACTTTATTTTAAAAAGAAAAATACTACGTATATGTTAAATCATTACATCAGTTACAAACCCTAACCGTAGAGAAATAATCAAGCTCTAGATATAGAATATACACCCTTGATCGGGGTATAATGAATCACACATTGAGTTATGAACTTGAGTCGAGGGTTACATAAGCTAGACATACCAACATACTTCTAAATGCATGTATTAGAAACCAGGACTAAACCATAATTTAACCTTAAAAATGACACAAGTTATGTAAGGAGGTGAACTTGAGCCGTTGGGGGGGGGGGACCATTGGAACAATGTTTAGGCCCTAACATCTTTTGTACTTTAGACAAATAGCCCCTGCCTTGTTCATCCTTGACTATCAACAATTGTGTCCAAGCCATTGGGATGGCAAAAGCACAAACAAGGAAACAACATAGTGAGGACAACAAGAAGAGCCCGTTTGGTAGCACGAAAAACGGTTGTTTTGACTGATTCTGCTGAAATTTATGAAGTTCTGGCTGAAGTGGCTGTATTGGCTGATTCTGTTGATTTAAGAAAAAATTATTTTAAAATATATTTTATTAATTAAATAAAGAAAAAATTATATCTAAAAATAGTTAAAATGGTCATCTACAGTAACTTCAGCCAATACAACCAGAAAAGTAACTCCAACTTTACTTTTTCTGCTTATTACACAATTCAACGCGCGAAAGTAAAAAAGTTATGTGTTTGGTGAAAAAGTTGGCTGATAAGCCCGATAAGCCGAAAAACAGTGTTGCCAAACGGCCTCGAAATCCACTACAACCTCACCATGAGATACTACATACACTTGATCGGGGGGGATGCAAATCCAAGATAATCTAGGGAGCACAGCTCCTGATGGAGGAAGGTTGTAGAGCACATATTATCTAGAACATTGATGGTCTTTTGTTTGTTATCCATGTAATGTTTCGTAAAGGCAGTGTGTTTAGTCAACCATATAAAAAAGGGAAGACTGGTGCACGAAGGCATCCCCGCCCACAAGGCGAGGGTCTGGACTCTGGAGAAGGGTCCCACACTCCCCCCACAAGGGTGTATAAGAGGCAAGCCTTCCGCTCCCAAGACTTGAACCGGTGCACCAAGGCTCCCCTTCTGCAGCTAGTCAACCGTATATTAGAAAATAATTCGGTGCTCCTTTTGATATATGACCTAATTCTTTGATATGGACTTCATTAGAAGTAAGCATCTTCTAATGTTAAGGTATTTATAATTCTGCCATTTGTGCCAGATGGATCTCGGTGTAGGCTCATTTGTATTGACAAATTCATTCGTTTCACGTCAGGCACGTGGAATCTCAGCAGTGTAAGTAACCATCAGTTTCTTATGGAAATAGTTGGGGAATATAATATAGGTTTTATATAAAGTCACGTATGATTGCTCTGTGTTTTTATTTGAACATGGTTGTTCTTTAATGATGAAGTTGCGTTTTAACATCTAGGAGTTTCTCTAACTCATTGCGTTCAACCTGGCCACTGACATTTCTAGGCCTTGTCCGACTCATTTCTACATCAAGTGTAGACTACCAGGTAAATGAATTTTCATGGTACTTGTTTAAATTGTGTGACCTAAGTACCTAATTGTATAATCCCTTGGGGCATGTAGAATAATAAGGATTTTGATTCCGGGTGGTTATGCGTTCATGCATAATAGTCAAAACATGTCCATCAAGAAAACGACTCATATTTTCAAATATGTATAGCAAATAGACTAGCAAGAGTGTATTATTCCTTGCATCTTACTAGGTAATTCCTTTTTGAGTTGTCACTAGTAAGTCATTATTTATTTTCTTGGTTTGGTGAATAATATATCTAAATCAGTGTAAATGCTTTTCATTTTAACCTTTAACCGATTTGTCCATCTGGATTTACCATGCTTTATTTAAATAAACTTAAAGTGATGGCGTAAGTAGGTCCTGATTGATTTTTTACCCTTTCACTCTAGAGTTCCTTGGTAAAATTACTTTACTTCATATAAAGAGGAAACTAAGTTATCGCTAAGTGCTTGTGAGTGTAATATTGTATGATCAAAGTCTTCATCTTCCCTTTTAGGTTCATGTAGGGGAGTATGGAATGCATTGGAATTTCTTTTTCACCCTCGCTGGTGTGGCAATCCTATCGTCAATCATTAATGTTCCTCCAAATTACTGTGGGATTCTTGGCTTATTCATTCTCCTAGGTATAGAGACTAGAGACATATGGTTTATATTTTCGTTTTATTTTTTGTTTACTGCATGACATAGATGACTAACACAGCTTTGTACTTTAAGGGTATCAACTATGCTTGCTACTTGGGTTTAATGAGTATCTGCTCTCAGATGATAAAAGAGGAGCAGATTTAATTAGCCAAAACAAGGAAGGGGTTTTCAGCATTTTTGGCAAGTTCCATCCAAATATTTATGCAATTTGGATGCTAATCCCCCCCCCTCCTCCCATGCTCTCTCGCTCACTCTGTCTCTCACCTAATTCCACTTTTTGCTGGTATATAGATATATTAAGATTTATGTGATCACTTTGCTCTTTATTTTTGTCTTAGGTTATTGGAGTTTGTACCTTATTGGTGTCCAATTAGGACACTATCTTTTTTTCGGGAACCACTATAATGCTACTACTTTCAGAAACAATAAATGGGCAATGAAAAGAGTTTGCGCTCTATCTCTATCATTCTGGTGCGATTTCTGCAGCACTCTTAAAAATTTGCATACTTGTTATTGATTGATACTACCCTCCATTTATTTACATGCTCTACTTTCCGTTTATACTGCCTCCACTTTATTCTGGCTCCACTTTCCGTTTTGGGGAAAAGAAATATGTCAAATGGCCTTCTGTTTCATGTTCTCATTAATAATTTCCCTTTTTTCATCTTGACTCCTATTTTTTCACTTTTTCTACACTATTCACTACACCCACAATTTCATTCTTAAACTTGGTGAAAACCTATGGTCTGAGTGAAAACAAAGGGTGTTATCCAAAAAAATAATGAAATATCTTTGAGGTCAATATAATGAATACATAATCATGGACATTACAATATCTACGAGGTTTACTGCATATTAAAAACCACAATTTTGTCCACTATATTCGTTATTAATTCAAAAAGAAACAGGACCAATATTCTAGGTTTCTTATGTTGCTTTGTTGGGACTTCGGCTATGCAGGTTGTTGACATATATTCTTGACAAGCACGTTGAGAGGGTTTCACGCAGAATGGTAATTGGCTTTCATTGAAGTCTCTCTCTCTCTCTCTCTCTCAGAGGATGAGGGAAGCTGTCTTATTTGCAAGAGCCTTTTCACACCTAACTCAACACTTCTTGTGCAGTGCAACCTGGCTTATGTTAGTTTTGTTTTGGCTCAAAATCTACAGGTATGCTTTTTAGCTCTCCTCAATCTTATATAAATGCCTCAACCCATGATAAAAATGGCGTTGACCTCTTCTCCCTATTCAATTTATCGTAGTTTTACCACTTAATAAAATAGATGCTCCCCTGCCCCACCATATTTATCCTAAAATATTGCTCACTTTCTTAATTTGAAAACCTCTAGTTTCTTATTTATCTTAATCCACCAATCACTCTTAACTTTTTTGAAATGAATTTGACATAGTTGGCTCCACAAGGGATAATTTTGGAAACTATAAGGGAGTCAAAAAGTAGCATGCAAAACACAGACAGCATACCAATCACAAGTCTGGTATTTTTCAGGTTTTGGGTATAATCATGCTTTCTGGTTATGCATCTCAACACAAAATATCTGTGTTGGAGGAAGCTTTTAACCAAAACCTTCTAGCATCTTTTCTTCTGGTGATGAAATCTAACTTTCCCTCACGTCTCTTTATATAATCAATAATTTGAGTCTGTAATGACACTGTAACACACTTATCATCGCACCATGTGCAGGCTAACATGCTTACAGGGCTCGTGAACCTATCTGTTAATACGCTGTCTGTTACATCATCCTCAGCACTTGCTATCTTGCTACTGTACGCATTCGTTTTATCTATTGTGGTCGGATTTGCTAACTTGTATGGACTCAAGTTCAAGTTCTGGTAGTTATGTTAGTACTAATTTACAGATTTCATTTGACCTTGTTCAGTTTATTTGCAATGTATCATAGGCTCGTGAACCTATCTGTTAATATGCTTTCTAAAATAAATATAAGAACATTACTTCCCTTTGTTCTTGAATAAATGAAACTAGATTTTTACATACGAGTATATTTTAGAATAATATTTTAGAATAATAGTAAGGGGTGAGTATTGTACGGAGTAGAAAAAAACTAGAATAAGTTCAGGGGGAATTTAAAGAGAAAAAGTGGAAAATATAGGGGGAATACACGCGATTAATTCAAAATAGGGGAGTAGTGTGGTGGAAGAAATGGAGTGTCCCCCATTTGTAAAGATTTTAGATTTCATGGAACTAATTAGAATTCCATAAAACACCATTCCTCATTTCCTCTGATTCCTCTCCTCCCAAGCTAGATTATAATGCCTAATTTATAGGGATACTCCAAACTAGGAGTTTGAGTACAGAATTGAATGAGATGCATTTTTTTATGAAACCTGAAATGATATTAGTGAGTAGTGGTGGACTCAGGTCGGGCCACCCGGCCCGTGAACCGGCCCGCTACTGTGCGGGCCCGGGACCGGCCTGGTTCACCGGTCCGGGTACCGGGCTTTGACCCAGCCCGACGGGGAGACGGTTCCGGGCACGGTTCCTTCAAAATGAGACCCGGCCCGGCCGGGCCCGGTTTGGGCCGAAATCATTTTTTTTTTTGGTTTTTTCATTTTTTTATTCCAACAGGTTTGGCTGGGTGTTTGGGGTGGGGGGGTTGGGGTGGGGGGGGTCAGGAGTTAATTAGAAAAAGAAAAAAAAATATAAAGAGGCCTGGCCCAGCCCGGACCCGGTAGCCCGCCCGGACCTAGGCCCGGCCCGGACCCGGCCCGAATCCACCACTATTAGTGAGTGTGGAATTGAATGTTGTGGACCTTGTGCTTTGATCATGTGTAGAAGATTGGGTCATATCCATATTACATGTCATTTTTTGGATACATTGGAAAGATAAAATAGAAGGAAAATTAAAATCTAATTAAAATGCTCAAGAGTCGAGACCATTAGTATCCTCGTGTAGAGACTTCTTGTCGCCTCCTGAGTGGCATTCACTAACGAGTGCACAATTATATCCCTCATGAGAAGTGTGTTGAAACTTAATAAACCTCTCATGTGCGAGAAACTCTTGGCAATCCTGAACCAATACCTCTATATTGTTACATATCATATTAGAGGGAACTCTTCCGGTAAGGTATACCTTACCGGAGCCTCCGTGCGGCCTCCATGTTTTGAGGGCTTTCCCGGTGGAATTTTTCGATGCAATTTTTTGAGCATGTTCTTCATCAAGTCAAATGTTCTTCAGCAAGTACATCCATACCAAATTTCAGCAAAACATTCAATCGGGAAGACAGTCAAATGATTTTTGGAAGATAACTGCACCCTTTATATACATATAAAACGCACTTATCTTCCAAAAATCATTTGACTGCCTTCCCGGTTGAATTTTTTGCTGAAATTTGGTATGGATGTACTAGACTTGATGAAGAACATGTTCAAAAAATTTCATCGAAAAATTCCACCGGGAAGGCCCTCAAAACGTGGAGGCCGCACGGCGGTTCCGGTAAGGTATACCTTACCGGAAAGTTTTCCTCATATTAGATATGTTGTGTGTAGCTGCTGATTGATCTAATTTTGTTTGTTTCCGTTTTCTGTATTTACTATTTTTAATTTCAATGTCATATGTCCATTCTGGTAGTCGACTCTAAACTCTTTTGGAATTAAGGTCGAAATGTTATTGTTTTTGAATTCAATTGTTAAGGGTCAATAAAACTTGAGAAAAATCTTTAAATATGACTAATACATAGATAAAGCATAAAAATAAAATCATCATTATTTTATTCCTAACATAGGGTCTATTCACTCCTAACTGCTGAAGTTTTTATTTTCAATGGAACCAAACAAGGATATTTTTAATTGAAATGGTTTCGATCCAAGACCATACTAGACCACACTAGACTTAGGCCCCGTTTACTTACGACTTAATGAGCTTAATAGCAACCGTGACTTAATCATTTAGCTATATAGTGTTGTTTACTTAGGACTTTATATCAAATAGGACTTATTCGCTAAGACGTTTGATAACTTATTCTCTCAGCTACGTTTTGACACTCCTTCGCATTCAGACGTATGCGTGTGTATGGACGGACATCTTTAACCCCCAACTTCTTTAAAATATTTCATCGCATACAAGTCTAGCGATAAACCTACAGAAATCGCCTACAGGAGAAACTTGCAATAGCTATCAGGAGAGCAGCAATGAAGAGGAATCTCATCCCTGCCTTCTTCATCTTCGTATTTCTTCTGACTCTATACTTTTTGTTTTCTCTTCGATGGCAAAATTCCTCCCTATTCTTGATCTTCACTTTCCAAACAATCTGATTTCATCTCTCAGATTATGTGTTCGAGTTTGTTTTATTAGACTCCCGTGTAGCATAGTTTGACTTGTTCTTGGGTTTGAGCTTTCGTCAAAATCGATATCTTTCATATCTATCTTGACTCTTATAGAAAAATACATCGATGCTGTAATTAATAATAGGAGAGGAAAGCTGCGAAAGTTATAATTTGGATAGCAAAGGCCCTTTTTATTGTTTATCCCAATTTGAGGGAGATTGTATCTTTAAACAATGTAAGAAATTGCAGGCTTTTAAAGCCATGATTTTATTTTACTTGTTTGTATCATTCAGAACATATAAATAAACAAACAATACATGTTCATCATTGGTTACAGACATAAGGGTAAAATGGTAACTTAATATAATTCAGACAACACATTCAGCACGCATAGTAAACAACTTGTTATCCTAGTGTCACTTAATCCAGACAGATGTCTTAATACAGACAGACGTCTTAATCCAAATAGGACTTAATGAAAATAAAAGTAAACAACCCCTTAATAGATTAAACTATATCGTATGAGAGCACACTAGACTTTGATAGTTATAAAATATACCCCGTATACAGAATAGACTTCTACCATACCAATTCAAATTTGAGCAAATTGTATTTAAATAGAACAGATCATATCAGACTTGAAAACTACCATCTACTAAGATCTTCTTAAATCATGGGAATAAAACTATCTCCTTTTCCTTTAGCTATTTTGTCCATGTTTTAATCCTAGTTATAGCAATTTCTCATAGAAACTTTAAATTCACTTTTCAATATGCAAGTTCTAATCGTAAGTTTTTTTTGAAAGGAAACTGATTATATTATATTAATCAAAGATCTCAACGTACTTCCCCCTTACAATGCTCAAACTCCCCACTCACATCTTAAAGTACTACCTCCCCTACAACGCCAAACCTCCTCTTGAAGCTCCGCATAGCCCAAGGGCCCTCCCACTCTCTGGTTAGACTTAGAATAGACCACCCCAGAAGGAGTGAGACTATTCGCGAACCATTTGAGAGTTTCAAAGCTTTTAGCGGCCAAACAAGCCTTATCGCTTCCACCAACAATAGCATCCCAACGCAAGTAAAAACAGGTGAACCTCACCCTATCACTAGAGTTCCAAACAAAAACAAAAGCAACATGAGTACCATAAAAGAAAAGACAGAAAAAATAAATAAAGTCTTCATGGCTCTCGGCCTTATTTAATTCCCAACGCTGCGGATCAGCGTCTCTCACTGCTGTGCCTGGCGAGCTACAAATTTGTAGCTCGCCTCCTCCCCGTTTCCCCCCCCCCCCCCCCCCGTTCTGAGCAATCTCCATATCTTCCCTGTTCTGGTGCTCTGTTGGATCCTCCACTCGTCTTCGTTTCTGCTCAATGTATCCCCTCTCTTGTGGTGAGAGCCCACCCTCCCCATTACCTGGTCGCACGCCGTCCTCTCTGTTTCCACTGGTAGCCTTGCTATCAGAACTGATTCCTTTTCCTGCTGGAACAAGCCATTTATTTTCTTTCCATTGCTTTGCCCCTTTTGTAGCTCTAAGCCAAAGACCAAAAGGTCTTTCACCAGTGACTTCATAGCCCCATCGTTTACGTGGGCAATGACTTTCCGCATGCCTTATTACTCCACACAGAAAGCAGAAGCTAGGTAGTTTCCCATAGCAAAACCTGACACGGAAAGTGACACCTTCCTCTTTTTGCAAAACCAATTTCCTTTTCAGAGGTTTCCCCAGATCAATACAAACACAAATCCTCATAAAGGATTCCCAATTCTCAAAGAAATAATTATCTTTAACTTTTATAAAAGTTCCTAAAAAATTCCCAATGCGTTCCGCATTCTCCACAGTGAAATATCCCACTGGGATATCATGAACTTGAACGCAAAAATCTGCTTTATTGAGTGGAAAGACATGGGGATATCTCCCTCTTTAAGCCTACTCATAACAATTAAGTTCTGATAAAAAGCCACGGACCTTCCTCATCAACCCTAGTGACATCCTCCTCATTATAAAACTGAAAAACATACCGCCTAGGACCAATTTCAGTTATGGAGACACCATTTTCCGGTTTCCACACAGACGCCATAATATCTCGAAATTGGGAAAAACGTACCGAATTTTCCGATGTAATGGTCCCCACCATGGTCAGATTGTGTTTCGCTGCGGGCTAAGCCATTGGTGATTTGGTGCGACCACGAGGACCTCGTCCTCTTCCTCCAGATCCAACATTCCATAGGCGTTGGCCAATGCATCCACTCCATTGGTGTCGTTCTGCTCCATTTCGTTCGCCCAAGTTACGAACTCAAGGCTCGTTCGCCAAAGCCACCGTCCGAGACGCGATCGCCGTGCGAAGAGAAGCCAAAACGCGGACGATCGAAAGTCGCCGATCCAACCCTAGGCATGAGGCCTCCCGTCCGCTTGTGTGTGGCTGTGTGAGCGCAATTTGTTCTAATCGTAAGTATTAATCCAAATGTAATAAAAAGAGTACATTTATCATTAATCAACTATAGTAATTGAAACGAATCGAGTTTCTTGAGTACAAATTATAAAACAAAGGAACAATTACATTCACGGCCCCAACTTTTGACCGGTAAAAGTGTTTTTCTTTCTCACAAATTAAAGAATCATTTTTTTTGCTTACAACTCCCTCCTGATTTCTGAGATTCGTATGACCAAACAAAAAGAAATGTAGAAAAAAAATAAGTACGTGTCGAAGTTGGGGAAGAAATGTGAGCAACAGCAAGCCAGGTATATTAGAAATATAATATCAGAAACGTCATATTTTTAATTTCCTTTTTAAAATGAAGTTTGTGTTCACTTTTTCTTGCGTTTCAATAATTTTTAGTTTATAATGTTCCTAGGTTCGTAAAATCTTATTTTTGTATACTCATTTTATAGTTTGAAGTTTTAAGACTTTTAACATTAGTACGACTGTATGAGAATATGAGAAAATTAAATCTTTTAACATTAAGAAAAAATTAAAGAATCTTTCAGGTTTTAAACACAAACAAAAATATGGAATATACTTTTCCTTATACAGGGACCTTAAAGATTCTTTCCACATTCATTTCGTCTGTTATATATTAAACCCGCCTCCATAAAATTCGATTAGGAACATAACTATCTTAGCTGCGCTGAGAAGAACTTTTTACCAAGTACTGCATTTTAAAGGTAGTAACCCCTTGTGTTATTTGTGTATCTCTTCCCAAATATAGACTTTTTATGTTGTAAAATAATTTGCATGTTTGTTTTTCTTGTGAAGGCAACTTAGTTTCATTTTCTTATTTAAGATTTCACGGAGTAATTTTTATCATATTATATATATTATGAATTTCTTGAGAACTTTTACTATAACTTTGAATATCTAAATTATCGGAAAAGATCTTGTCCCGCTGGAGGGACAGGATCCTCTGTCTGGCCGCTGTCGTTTGTGGTGGTCCCCATTAATATTTTTTGATGAAAATTTTCAGGCATGTTCCTCCTCAAGTCTAGTTTATCAACAAAAGTTTCAGCTAAAATTTCAAGTCTAGTTATTTTTTGATGAAAATAACTGCGTTTTCGAACATTCCTTTAACATTCCACCGGGAACCACCCCAAATGGCGGCGGCCGGACGGAGGATCCTGTCCCTCCGGCTGAACACGATCATTCCTCTCTAAATTATACGTTGTATTTATAACAAGTGATTAAATTAATTGCAGGGGAATTTAAAATCACAAAGTGCAAATATCATGGTGAAAAGTAACCATCACCACTCTTTGCTTTTCATGCTTCCTCTCATCTTCCTCCTACAAGGAGCGGCCGTCGTCGTTTCATCTGGTCTCGGAGCAGACGACGGAGAAGTGCTCAGTGGGACCACGCCGCCATCCCCGCCCGCTCGCTTCCCCGCTTCTCCATTTCATCCCGGCCTCCTCAATGTCGTCATCTCTCCGGATCACTCACCGCTTACTGCCCATTCTGTGGCTCTGCCACCCTCTGCAGCGGCCGTTTCAACACGGCGGCTATCCCAAAGCAAAACAGACAGCAATAGAAAAAGGAAACTGAGTAAGAAAATGAAGTCTAAAAAGAAGACCAAGAAAATTCGTAAAATTATAATTATAATTACTGTACTCGTCATTATAGCCGTTATAATTGCAGCCGTCATTATAGCCGTTATATATTTGAAGAAGCGAAAGGAGAGTGTGGATGCACTTCCCACTTCAATTGCCTAAATGCACGTGCATTTAATGACAATAATATCGTGCAGCTCTTTTATTATATTGTGTTTAATTTAATTAAGTTATCCTCTTTTATTATATTGTGTTTAATTTAATTAAGTTATCCTTTATTAGTGCTTATTACTTTTGGATCCATTGGTTAATGACACTAAATTTACTACTACGCAGTACGCACTTCCTATTATACTCCTTTTATATGGTATCGTATTCTGGCGGAATTTGGAGCTGGTAATATATACTCCGTAAAATTAATAAACCTCTTTGATGCATGACCTTTTTATCTTATGTGTATTCTTTATATAATTTTGTTCATGAGATCATGGATATATTTGTGTATGTCTATCTACTAGTAGGCACAATTTTCTACTTCTTGAGTTTGTACTGTAAACTTCAAAAGTTCAAAGGTCTCTAAAAGTTCTTAATTAATTGTATGTCTACAAAAAAAAGTTAAGGACTTTTTAAAAAAAAAAAAACTAGAGCCAGGGAAGTCTTTAGGAAATTGATGCCCAAGATGAAAAACTAAATAAAGTTTTGAACTTTATTTTGAAACATGTCTAAGTTAGTAGTTCAGATTTCAACTTTTTTTTCATATCTCTCCTTACCACCCACAAAATATTAATATTAATAACATGTAGTATGTATTCCTTATCTCTAGGGGTGGGATTTTGGCAGTGATAGCATTGGCAAAGATTCAACCTCCTGAAGCAGTTTGAGCTCACGATTAATAAGTTTTTCATGAAGCTCAGTGTAAGTGATGCATGTCTCACGTCCTTCAACGGCTTCAATTACGGGTTTATAGCTTTCATCAAGACCATTGAGAATGTACTCAACGAGATCTTCATGATCCAGAGGCTTTCCCAAAAGGGCTAATTCATCAGCAACATTTTTGATGAATTGTGTATATTCACCAATGCTTTTGGATCCCTTCTTGTAGTTTTTGAGCTGAGATTTCAATTGCTTTATATGCCCACGAGAGGGTTGAGCATAGACAGATGACAAAGTGTTCCAGGCATCTTGGGTGGTTTTGGCACGTGTGATGAGAGATACCACTGGAGAAGTGAGAGTACCAATAAGAGCACCGAAAAGAAGTTTGTCTTGCCATATCCACGAGACATGCGCCGGGTTGGGAGTCACCGTACCATCGACAGTGATGGTTGCAGGCGGGCAGGGAAGAGATCCGTCCAAATAACCGTCAAGACTATATCCGGTGAGAATAGATTGGACCTGTAATTGCCAGGAAATGTAGTTTGTGGGAGTGAGTTTGATCACATTCCCGAGATTGACATAAATGAGTGGTTTGTTAGGTTCAAAAGTGTTGGGGATATGGATATATCACTGGAGGTGTGACAGGAGGTGGCATCAGACGCCATGATGATGATGAACAAGGAAGGAACCGAGAGGGGAAAAAAAATTAAAGTGTTTGGATCGATAGCTGTGACTACCATGGAGTATTTGAAAGTAGTAAATTGTATATAGGAGTACCATATAGAAGTAATATGAAAGTAGTAAATTGTATTCACTCTTCCATGGAGTATACACGTGATGTTTATATAGGAGTACAATTAGGAGAGATCAAGCATAACTAACTAAGAGATCATATTGTACAATTAGTTTGAATTACAAAAGATAAAATTATTGATAGCTGGAAAAAAAAATTAAAGTGTTTGGTGAAGAAATTGAGACAACTTGTTTACGACATAAGACACATCCGGCCGCGTAAGAGCCAAGTATTGAAGGCCACCAACCACTGACAGATAGTCCCTTGGATCATCAAGCGGCTGGCCAGACGTGAGACTGAGCTTGGTGTTAGCAGCAAGAGGGGTAGTGACACCATTACAAGCATCCATCTTAAATCGATATAATAAGTCCATAATATAACATTGCGGAGAAAGAAGAATACCATCCGGATGTGCTATAACTTCAATGCCAAGAAAATAAGAGAGCTTGCCAAGATCTTTTAGGGAAAAACGTTGGCCAAGGCTCTTAATTAGTGATTCAATGAAATCCGGGGAGCTGCCAGTAATGACTATATCATCAACATAGACCAAAATATAAATAAGAGTATGATCATGATGATATACAAAAAGAGAAGTACCGGCCTTGGAGTTAAGAAATCCCAGATCAAGCAAAAAATGCTTGAGTTCTTGATACCACGCCCGAGGTGTCTTCTTGAGCCCATACAAAGCTTTGCGAAGACGACATATATGATTAGGTTTGTTTGGATCAACAAAACCTGGAGGTTGAAGCATGAAAACATCATCATAAAGATGACTCTGCAAAAAAGCATTGTTAACATCAATTTGTCGTAGTGTCCACCCTCGAATGACAGCCAAAGATAGAACCAATCGGATGGTGGTTGGTTTAATAACCGGACTAAAAGTCCCCGTATAATCCACCCCGGGGCGTTGATGAAAACCCTTGGCAACAAGCCTCGCTTTGTACCTGTCAATGTTACCGTTAGGTAAGCGTTTAATACGAAAGATCCACTTGCAACCCATAATGTTTTCCCTTCCTGTGCGTGGAACAAGAGTCCAAGTTCCATTTTTTATAAGAGCATTGAACTCCTCGGACATAGCATGCCGCCAATTAGCATCGGCTAGAGCTTCTGTAACAGTATGTGGTGGAGAATGGTGTGGGATGGGTATTATTGGAGGGTGGGGTTAATGTATTTGAGTGGGTATTATTGGAGGGTGGGGTTAATGTATTTGAGTGGGATGGGGATGAGGAGTAAGGTTGGCAGCTTGTGGGAATAAAGTTGGAGCACGTGGGTTTGGGTGAGGGAGTGTTGGAGTTCGGTGAATTGGGGGATGTTAGGAACGGATATTTGGGTGGAGTTATTATGATTAGTATTATTAGGTGGAGTGGAGATAATCATTGGGGGGAATTAGATGGGATAGAGGTGACTGAGATAAGGGTGGAATAGGCTGAGAGATATTTTGGCCGAGGGAATGGGAGATAGTTTGGCCAAGAGGAGTGAGATTTAAATATAAAAATTGGTGAGTAGTAGTCCATGGGGTAACTGGGGTGGGTTCGGTTGGATGTTGGGTAAGAGTGAAATAGGGAAAAATGTGTTCAATAAATATTACATGGCGTGACACATATATGCAGTCACTAACGGGGTCAAAGAAAAAATAAGAACTTTGACTAAGAGAGTAGCCCAAAAAAATGCAAGGGACAGACCGGGATTGGAGTTTATGTTGTGTGTATGGTCGAATCCAAGGGTAGCATAAACATCCAAAAATACAGAGTTTCTGATAATTTGGTGGGGAGCGGTAGAGATATTCATATGGGAAAAAATATTGAAGAGTGGGTGTGGGAAGGCGGTTAATGAGGTAGACCGTCGTGGGTAAGGCATAGGACCAATATTGTGGTGGTAAGGAGGCTTGATGTAGGAGAGTAAGACCAGTTTCAATAATGTGAGGGTGGTGGCGTTCGGCATAGCCATTGTGTTCAGGAGTGTGTGGGGGGAGGTGAGATGAGATATGCCAGTTTGGGTGAGGTAAGGGGTAAGGGCTTTAAATTCTCCACCATTGTCATAAAAGAATGTTATGATTTTTAGTCCAAATTTATTTTCTACTAGTGAACGAAAAGTAGGAAATATGGACCGAACATCAGATTTTCGTTTTAACGGATAGAACCAGATATATTTGGTAAAATGATCAATAAAAATAACATAATATTTAAATTGATCAAAAGAAATAACAGGTGAGGTCCTAACATCAGAAAAAATTATTTCTAGTGGATGAGATGATTTTATAGATGAGTCATGAAACAGAAGTTTGTGATTTTTATTACAATGACAAGAATCACAATTAAAATCAATAGGAGATACATGATTTATTTGGGAGGGAAATTTAGATAACATATGACGAAAAATTGCAAGAGATGGATGACCAAGACGAGAATGCCACTGTTGAGAGGACACTTTGACACTGGGGTAGGCTCGAACATGAGTGGAATTAGAAGGCCATTCGCAGAGACCATTTTTAGCTTGACCGTGGAGGAGTGGTGCCCCCGTGGTGAGATCCTTGACACAAAACGAAAAAGGTGAGAATTCAACAGAGGCATTATTTTGAAGACAAAATTGAGACACAGAAATAAGTTTTTTATGAATAGTGGGAACACATAATAAATTTTTTAAATGAAATACACGAGAAGGAGAGGAGAGGGTCCCTGAACCCGTGAAAGTTATAGGAAGACCGTCACCGTTGCCAACAATGACTTCATCAGTGCCCGAGTACGGAGTATGTAGAAATAAATTATCAAGATCAGACGTTAGGTGATGTGTGGCTCCACTATAAAAAAATCCACGGAGATGATGGGGCCGGTCCAAGCAGACCATTACCCGAGGCAGTATGAGCCTGGGGTGAGGACCAGGAAGGCCGTGAGGGTAATTGCCATGGTGTGGAGGAGTTTTGGGGTTGCTGCCAGGGAGTAGGAAGTGCACCAGTTGTGGATTGAAGCCGGAAAAGAGGACAAACACGAGCAGTATGACCTTGAGTGCGGCATGAAGGAGACGGACGGCTGGAGGATAATCCACGACCAGATGAGTTGTGACGGCCACGGCCACGGGAACTGTGCGAAGAGGGTCCTCGAGCAACATTGGCAGTGATAGGCATCGGCGAAGATTCAGCCTCCTGAACCAGTTTGAGCTCACGATTAATAAGTTTTTCATGAAGCTCAGTGTAAGTGATGCATGTCTCACGTCCTTCAAAGGCTTCAATTACGGGTTTATAGCCTTCATCAAGACCATTGAGAATGTACTCAACGAGATCTTCATGATCCAGAGGCTTTCCCAAAAGGGCTAATTCATCAGCAACATTTTTGATGAATTGTGTATATTCACCAATGCTTTTGGATCCTTTCTTGTAGTTTTTGAGCTGAGATTTCAATTGCTTAATATGCCCACGAGAGGGTTGAGCATAGATAGATGACAGGGTGTTCCAGGCGTCTTGGGTGGTTTTGGCACGTGTGATGAGAGATACCACAAGAAAAGTGAGAGTACCAATAAGAGCACCGAAAAGAAGTTTGTCTTGCCGTATCCACGAGACATGCGCCGGGTTGGGAGTCACAGTACCATCGGCAGTGATGGTTGCAGTCGGGCAGGGAAGAGATCTGTCCAAATAACCGTCAAGATTATATCTGGTGAGAATAGATTGGACATGTAATTGCCAGGAAATGTAGTTTGTGGGAGTGAGTTTGATCACATTCCCGAGATTGACATAAATGAGTGGTTTGTTAGGTTCAGAAGTGTTGGGGATATGGATATCACTGGAGGTGTGACCGGAGGTGGCATCAGACGCCATGATGATGATGAACAAGGAAGGAGCCGAGAGAGAGAGAGAGAGAAATTAAAGTGTTTGGATCAATTCTATTAAGGGTGGTTTGAAAATGATTTTGCTTCAGTTTTGTTATAAAGTAGAAGTCAAATTACTGTCGGTTTAATGACATTGTTTTTGGTCTTATCAGGATTATCATTTAATTTTTTTTACCCCAGGCGTCAGGGGTTGGGGGGTCTGGGGTGGGGGTAAACAAGACTGAAAATCCCATGGGATTTCGAACATGATATCAGGGATGGATTTAGTGGTGGGGGTGGGCAATCGACCGCCCCCCTTGGACTTACAAAATTATGTGTGTGTGTGCGCGCGCGTGCGTGCGTGCGTGTGATGTGTGTGCGTGTGATATTTTTATAAAGTTTTTATGCTTTAATTAGATATATTTGTGTTCGTCCCCCTTAACTTTTAGTTTTCAAAATTTTATATAGCATCTAAAATAATTTACATAACTTAAACAAATAAACAATAGAGTAACTCATTATTCAAGACTTAGCTTAGGATACTTATTATATAAAAATTCCTAGTTTTGTAATGTTTATAATTAATTCCTAGCATTGAATCCAAAATATAAATGTTTGTTGATGACACTTTACATTAAATTACAATCGATTTACTTCTTACTTTCTAAAAACAATTTATTGCAGAAATAATAAACTTTAACTTGTTTTAGCAATAATACAAATATAATATGCACCATACATATGAATCTGCAATATAATATGATTCTAAAAATAATAATCTCATACATATATAGTATTGTAATATTTTGAAAACTACTTCTCTTGACTCATGAATACCCTCCTTGATAGACAAAAATTGCAATTCAAAAATTAATCATTTATTCCGATAAGATTTATGTGATTAGACAAAATAAAAGTTGTTTAAAAACTATTGGTGGATGCATACCTTTTAAACTTTTTATATTCAAATAATTTGATAGAATATTATATTTCCTTTTTTATTTTGAAATAATTTCCCTTTGATTTGTCATTCCTTACGCTTTAATGTATCAAGACTTTTTTCTAGAGCACTTTAATTATAAAATCAAAGTTATTTTCCATTTTCTAAACTTAGAATGTAATAGATTTGAATGTTGTCATGTATATATTGATGGATTTTTTTGAATAAAAAAATCGCCACAGAGCCTTACACTAGAAAAAAATCGCTCCGCTACACCAGTGAAAAAAATCGCCTCCCTACACGAGCGGAAAAAATTTTCGCCCACCTTGACTCCAAATTCTGGATCCGTCCCTGCATGATATATACCTCCCGTATGAGAGAGTGCATGGGTCGACGACAAGTTGAATTGGACCACTTCCTCGCCTCCACTTTTAAATCTGGCTCCACATATGTCAAATGCCACAAATGCCCTTCTGTTTTATCTTCTCATTAGTAATTTCCCACTCTTTCTTCTTGGCTCCTTTTTCACTATTTCTACACACTATTCAGTATACCATAATTTCATTCTTAAACTTGGTGAAAATAAAGGAACTACGTACGGAGTATAATATGTATTCACGCCCACAACTTTTGACATAAAAAAGTGCTTCTCTCCTCGCAAATTAAAGAATCGTTTTTTTACTCTTCCAAGTGCAACTCCCTCTCATGAGATTCGTGAGTCCAAACAAAAAAAATGTAGAAAATAGGAAGTATGTTATGAAGTTAGGGAAGATATGTGACCTATGAGCACGCCAGGTATATTAGAAATATACTATGAGAAATGTAATATTGTATTTTTAATTTCCTTTTCAAAATGAAGTTTCTATTGATCCTTTTCTTGCGTTTCAATAATTTATTAAGAGAAAATTACCTCATATTTGTTTTTCAAAATGTGACATAGTATATCTTTAAATGTAAAACTTAATTGCACAGATAAGACTGAAACTCAAATCTTTCATAATTAGGACTAAACATTAATTTTATAATTTAACGTTAATACTCCTGGCCTAATCCTATTAATAAATTGCCCCCTTGTTCCCTTTCATAACCGAGGTAATCCGGTACAGTGGTGGTGGCGTTGACCGACGACAGAGCTCCGGCAAGGTGCGGTGGTGTAAATTGGTGGGGAACCTATCCTGGAAACTTCTGGCAGATTCTGACAGTGGTTGTGGCCGGCGGCAGTGGCCGGGAACTCCAAAAGGCTACAGGCACTCGTATTTGTCCAAACACACATGATTAGTCTTATTTATAAGGGGATTTAAAACTATGTAGTCTTATTTGTGATTTTAGGTCA